GCCTCGCATGGTGCCTCGCACGCCTCGCTGCCTCGCATGTTAATAAAACTCCGTACTTTTCTCGTTTTAATCAGCCTCTCATTAAAAATATCCCACTGTTAGATCTTGGCGCGAGTCGTCGAAAGTTCAAGTTTTCTAAAATTTCAGACAAAGCTTCCTTGTGTACTAGACAAACTGAATAAAATATTCCTCCTCTTTGTTCTTGTTTTAACTTGTTGATTTGAGTGTAGATGATGCCGTGAACTCCGTTTTCTATCTCATACCAGTTGTGTTATCGAGAGTAAAATCCTCTCCAAGAAGAATTTGCCTTAATTTCCACCGCAAGCGACATGCATTTGACAGGAACCGAGATGAAGGTTCACGGGATTCTTTCGCTATGTATTGTTGCATTGTTTCCTTCGGGATGAGTATCAGGTATACTGATAAATAAGCACAAACTTGACCCAACATTCATTGTTTAATCGGCGGACCAAAAAATGTCTGTCACAAATCGGAGAAAATTCTCTGATTTCATAAGCTCGACATTGCTCGTAGCTATGAAACGTAATCAGATGGAAACGTCTTTTGTAGTTATTTGGAGTTTTTGCCTGAATCAGGAGCCCACCATAATGCAATGCAATCGGAGTGCGCACACCGTCTGATCAATATGTAATCAAAAGAGTTTTTGTCATGGATTCAGGAATAAATAGGCACTCCTAAATTTTGTCAGACTACGCATTGCATCTGCCTAACTACAAAATTTTTTGCAAGAGACATCCTCGAAGACGTTTTTGTCTACTGTTTGTCTTAAAAAAGATGTTTGAAAATAAAGGTGATGAGTTACTCTCAGATATTTACCAAGATCTTTCATTTCAATAAGAATTTTAGGTATCATGCATGAAAATTTAACATGAGTTGGCTTACCAAGTCTTTGTTGGTATGTTCGGGAAGTGAAGGTCCTGTAGGTATTCCGTTCAGTGTCACGCTGTGCTGATGATCTTAAATTACTTCATGGGAGCTGAAATTATTACTTATAGAAAAATGAACGGGTTAAACACCGTTAAACACTAGTAATAGTAGTATTTCACGCCGATTTCCGCCTTACTCAGTCTGACTTTCGGTTTAATAAGTTATTTTAATCAATTAATTTACTATCACGTGACAGCATTGGGCTGGGCGTGGTAGAGGCGGGGGGAGGGGGGGAGGAGGCAAAAACCCCTCCTCGGCTATTAGGTATGACGATTACACGTACACCACCCTGCTGGTTTTGTAGCCCGTTGCGTGGGTACGTTGCAGCTGGTTGAATGCGGGCTCGTTTATTTAAGCGGCAGCGGAAGACAAATCTGTGAATGGATGTTGGTATGGTCCAAGGAAGAAAAATTTTTGTGACTGGAGGAGGAGGATATTTTGGCCACAAGTTGGGGAATCAGCTGAAGAAGATGGAAGCAGTGGTTGTATTGTTTGACATCTCGTGGCCGTTGGATGATGTTGTGTAAGAGCAAATGGAGTGTTTTCAGGTAGAGACTTGATCGGTTAATTACGTAATTCACTTTGGAATATTTTACCAATTAAAAAATCTCCATTCGGATCTTGCCTTTGTGCTACGCACAGACGAAAATATTAAATTCTACCATGGGGAAAATACGTGGAAGTTATTTGAATTTGCTGTGTCAGACACTCGGTCGCGGGAAGTGTTTCCTAAAAGTTGGACACTTGATATTCTAGAATTCTCCCATAATTTTCACTTCACCTTGCGAATGATTATGTGATATCACGATTTAAGTGAATTTTTTTCTAAAAAAGTCTCATTTTATGTCATACGATTCATATTTATGTTTTAGGGGGATATAACAGGTAAAGAAGATGTAAGAAAGATATTTATCAGTCATCAGATTGACGTGGTTTTTCATAGTGCATCAAATGGAATGTCTGGAAGAGAGCAAGTTAGTATGTTGTACTTATTGAGTGAATGATAGGGCCAGACAAAAATATATTTGCTTCCAGATTGTGGGTTCAAAGATGTGCAGAGCTCTGACTCTGTGCTTGTTCCAAATGTCACGATTGAGAGATAAACGTTTCTCTGTCTTCTCTGTCTTTCTCTAGCCCAACCCTACTCGGTCAAAACTGATTTTTTTTTAGACTGAAATCCAGTCCAATGGATGTACCATTACTGCTTGTTGCTTTCTGCTCCTTAGCTGGAATAAGCACC